CTATGATTTGTTTTTTTGGTCATACATTTCCATTTTTGGAGAGGATATAGGATCTACACAGCCAATAAAAAGTTCAGTGACTAAGTGACTTGCACTATAGAAGAATTTGGTTTTGAAAATTTATCCGTTAAACCCCTAAATCCGCTAAGTCGAGATCCGTTAAACCGAGATACACTGTGTAATTTGTTATATTGATGTAACATATGTTTGATGATCAACAGCCATATATCACGTGATAATGATTTTGATAATAAAGTGACATTATTCGGATAACCTGAAAAAATTATATTCAAATTGTTATATGATCTAGGCCAGTATCTTGGGGCCACCATAACAATTTACTATTAGTAATTTGCAATCATTTCGTTAGTACTGGCAATCAAAATTTTAGTAATAATAATAATAGTAACGGTAATAAATTTAAAAGAAAGAAATACATCAATTAATCGATAAATACAATGTATATAATAATAATACATTAAAAAAAATTTTTTTTTGTTAATTAAAATTGATAAAACTATAAATTTCCAATTCCAATTTCACATATAAATTTTTCCCAAAAAAAGATTGACAATAAAAGTTTTCCCAGTCCGTTGAATAAAGATTAACTAGAAAAAAAAACGAAACGTTAGTTTCCGTGTTGATTATTAAAATACTGACGAAAAAAAGTATCGGGATCGATTCCACAATCGCTCACTTGAGATGAACTTGTGTTGTATATTGTCCCATACAAATAATCTCCAGTATTAAACATTCATCATCTTCCATATTGAATATCTCTTGATTACAAAACAAGTGTAATAATTGACTGAGTGATAATTGTCCAGACTCCACCAATTCAACCTCTTGGCTTGAATAAGGATAAGTACTTTGAGCGTCCTGATAATTTGATGCATTATGCATTGTCGTATCGAATGTTGTAATATTATTATTATTGCTGCTGCTGTTGTTGTTGCTGTCGTTGCCGTCTCTGTTGATATAAATGAAATTAGAATCATTTTTGTTGTCAAAATGGACTTCTCTGCACACCAACTTTTTTTCATCGTCATTAGTGTTGGTTGCCGAAACTGTTTTGAAGAAGTGAAAATCAAAACTAAAATTAAAATTTATATATCAAAACTAAGTCAAAAGTCAAAGGTCAAAGGTCAAAACTAGTTTCGACTTATGGCGAAACCTTTTAACTTTCGCACAGTCGCGAAACTCTCTAATTTTGGAAACCAACATTAATCGTCATCTTCGAGTTCTTTGAAACTAATCATCTCCCGGTTCTTCTTGTCAAGTTTTCAAAGAATTCTACTTTTTTTGTAGGATCAGATTTTTTTAATGCATTCCATGCATTTTTGTATCTTTTGAAATATCTTCTATATTGGAATTTTCTTCAGGGAGAGTTTCTCTTAAAAAAATTGCATGATATTTACGGAATTTAAGAAATTTATTTTACCATTTTTTTTGTTGGACTACTTTCTTTGAAGAAGATTTTTCTTTTTTTTTCTTTTGAAAGAAATTGGTCGATTTGTGTGCCGTTAATTTCAATAGGTGTATTTTCTAATAACTGTTTCTCGTGTTCTGATAAATTTAATTGATTTACGAGTTGTATAACGTTTTCTGAAAGAGTCATGGCTATGTAGCAAATATTTAATGATTATTTTATTCATTTATTTTTTAATATTAAGGTATCCAAAATTTTGTTTAGACGTTTTTGAAAACTTGAAAATTTAGGTATTAATGTCGTCAATTTACAAAAAAAATCAATGATAAATGTATTTCCTTTTTGGTAGATTGTACAAAAAACAAAACTCATTTCAGCTGGACACACAAATATGCGTAACTTATCATCACTAATACTAATACTAATACTTGAATAAAAGAAAACATCAGTAGGCGATCTACTAAACTTTATTTGTATAATTTTATAAAAAAATCGAAATTCAAAGATTACTATGATAATGATAATAATTTGAATTGGTGATAATATTAATTCGCGAGATGAAGGTAAAAAGTTTATTAAGTTTACTATAGAAATCTCCGCATCCACGCGGCCTGTGTGTAAAATTGAAGGGGCGCAAAGAGCGCATGTAACATTATTTATCATAAATTGTGTATTAATATTAATATTAGTCACTGATTTTAATGTTAATATATGATCGACATGACATGTTTTTTGTGCAACGGACTTTGGCGAATGAATTGAACGTAAACTCATTATTAAACCATTTTCGTGCCTCTAAGTAAAAACAAACATTTGCCTTTGAACTTTAAAATACAAGCTTTATGCGCCTCTAGCTCTTCCAGTTATAGAGTAATAGTCTCTCAAAGAAACCTATGGTTTTTGACTTTGGAAGCTTAATTCTTTTCGGAAATCAGCTCTATTGAGATCGTTTTAGCATGATAAGACAGAGCATATCGAGAGCTTTCAGAAAAATATATGGTTTGTATGGGTTTATTGGGGAAGGAAGAAATTAAAGCAAAAAAAGGTTTTATAAGTTATTTATTATTATGAGAACTTTTCAACAATTTTTTTTTGCATTATTGTTTTCTAACATATGAAAACACAATCTTTTAATTGGAGTTTCTACTCAAAAGGTTACAAAAGAAAAACTATTGATTAATATTCTTAATTCAATAATTAATATAGATGATAATAATCTTTAAATTTAAAACTTTTGTTTATTTATTTTATTGTGAAGAATTTTTAAGGTAGTGTGAATTAATGACAAAAATAAGTAACAGATAACGAAAGGAAAACTATTAAATATTAGTATTAGGTATCAAAGATTATATTAAATGAATTTAATTAATATATTCAATATTAAAATTTTTTTTTGACAATATTTAATTGATTTTAAAAATTAACTACACGATTATGAAAAAATTGGTTTAAATTATTACATGGCTGAACAATGTACCACCAAAGAAAAGAAGAAAAAGGTTGTGATCTCAATGAGTTCTATGTTAACATTATAATTTAATTTTTTTTTCTTTTCATATTATCATACCAGTAATCACTAACTTTACTGTATGTTCATGAATCATTTAAATAGATCTTTAGATAATCTTTCTATATATAATAAATTTTTATTAATAAATGTAAATTAAATTGAATTATATCAGTTTGTAGCTTCTGTCCTCATAATTTTTCCATATATAAAAATTTAAACAGTAAATGAGAAAAAAATTTTCTTCATTAATCATTAAAATTAAAAATTTGTAACTAAATACTTGACCAAATTGAATGAATGATCTTACACTCACTAGGAAGCTAAAGGCTCATTATTTAACATATTGTTGTTTGTTGATAATTTAAAAAAATATCAATCAATTTACACTTATAATTGATAAATTAATATTTGCTGTTAATATTCCAATTTTTGAAATAAATTACAATCTTATACTCATTAGTAAGCTGAAGTTCCATCATCTATCAAACTGAAAAATCACATATTGTTATTATGTAAACTTTAAAGATCGCCAACAATTTAAAATATCAACTGCTCATGTTAAAATTCTTTATTTTTTTTAAATTTTGATTAATTAATAAAAATACTAAACCAATTGGAATGAAAATATCACAATTAGGATGACATTCTGCTCTATTTTATGATTATGTGTGTTTGCTGAATTATTATTATATATTCTTGTACTTCATATTTGGTTCATATAATAAAAAAACAATAAATTTATTTACTGTTTTGTGTTAAATACAATATTAAATATATTCATTTATTAATGTAGTGAGTCATTTTAACCCATTAAATTATTATTAATACTTTTTAGTTTTCTTAGACATAAACATATCCATCCATGAGGTTGATTTTATGTGGTAGTAATAGTTACTCCAAAACTCACTATGCTAGTTGAATTAAAAGATATATATAATCATGCATTTTCTTTTACAAGTAAAAAATATAATGTGAATTTTTCTATTGATAAAGAACTCTTCCAATCTTAGAAACAAAACTTATTAGTAAATAATTATATTATTTACTAAGGAATTATACGTTTGAGATGTGAATTATAAAAGTTGACCTTGTTTCCATTGTCCATGCCTCACCAACCCAATGATGTAAGATTATTTCTAAAAACCAAATGGTGGCTTCTTGTTTATGTTTAATTGAAATTACAAGTTCAAAATAATTTGTTGTGACATGATTAAGAATTGAAGGCGTAACTTTCAACAAGTAATTCTTTTCCATTTTTTTTAGTAAACCATAGCCGAAATTTTGCAAGGAAATAAAATAAGTGTACAAAATATCACGTTTCTGGTTAAAACTTCATGTGGGTGTGTTAGGTGACGAATGAAAAGTTCCTTCGATTTTAAATAGTAAAAATACAAAATTTCTATATATATAGCTATTACAATAGGTGTAAAATGTCGTCTGACTGATATTAAAAATAACAAAATAATAACAATAATCTTAAAATAATAATACATGAATATTGAATGTTAAATATATAGATGTTAAATACTTATAGTAGTTAACTAGATAAGTCAGTCATCACAAATACTTTAAACAATTGATTAAGAGGATCGACTTATCGAATTTATATGTATATGTATGTTTTATTAAATAACGAAACCAAGGGTTTATCTTAAAAGTTAACAGGAAGATTATAATCAACAAAATGATTTTCTTCACAAGATGGAGTGTTGGTATTGATTGATAACTCCATTCTGACACCGTTAATCATCCATACAGGATTAATATAAACTTCGTGCACAATATCTTGTTGTTGACATACTATTGTTATATCAGTGATGTTTGGAATGGCATTTGTTTGTGGAATAACTGCTTCCAGATTCATTACTAGTACTATGATTCTCAGTTCCCATCGCATCCACATCAGCATCATTATTGACAACTATATTGTCTTGATTATATGTTACTGTGTCACTATTGTAAACTTTAGACGAATTCTGTTTTGTTTTATTTGTAAGAACCATTTTTTTATATAAATCAATAATTTAATTGTTTTTGATTCAATAAATTTATTAAAAGGCCAACAAAAATCAAAACCATTTATAATGTTTTAAAAATTAGAAAATATTAATAATATTATTACATAATCATTAAATAAATATGCATTCGTGTCAGGGCCCAGTAAGTTTACTATACACTGGTAGTCGATCTTGAATCACAAAATTACATAATCACAATGATTTCAATATATTCGGCAAAGATTTCATATATTGTCAAAGTTCGTTCACCATTCACCCATTCACCATTAACCCACTTATCCGTTAATCTTGCTTATCGATTTTCCCAACCTTCCATAGACGGCCTAAACAAAAGTGTCATCTCAATTATTAAGCAATTTAAGTGTATAACTTGGCCTCATTACACGCTGTAACTCTCATTCCACTTTTTTGTCTTAATTAGGTCATATAATCATTTCTACGTTAGATTAATTTTCACAATCGATTTTAAAATTGAATAATTGATGTATGGGGTTTTTGAAACTATAATTAATTTGTGTTTCACATGGTTCATACAAATACCATTATAGCTTAGGTTTGACATGTGTTTGTGTAGCATCCATGTTCCGAGCTTTCTGTAGCTTGTGCAACAATAAAAATGCAAATTTCGATTATCTTGAATCTTAAATAATTTTATGATCTTTTATTAGTCATACAACAAACACTATACCATTTTTCATTTTAGTTTTGATGTATTTTTTGTATGAAAATTTTCAATTGAAATTCATTTAAAATCGTGATAACATTTCCTAAAACTTTATTTATATATTAAAATAAATAAATCTACATTAATTTTTGTAGCTTGGGCTTTCAAGAATATTCTCGCAACTATGAAATTTATAGTTAATCAAAATAAATAAAAAAATAAGTAATCAAAAAAAAGATCTTGTATGCACAAAAATGCAGTTTATAAGCAATATACACTATTTTATTGCAAGAAGTTTTAAATGTCCATCCATTCATCATTTAGTATAAGTTTGGTAATGCTTTTTTTGGGATCAAGTAAGTGTCCAAAATGTTCATTGTGAAATGTAGTGATATATATGAGACAATTTATATAACTTTTGATAGGACGCTCAAGATTTAAATGCTGATTACAATTTGTTCTTTGTGATTTAGATGGATTGATTACACTTCTTTTTTTATTGGTCTCATATGTCATTTTCAAATTTTTCTAGTCTACCCTTTCTAAGCTTAAATCCTTGTTGGTTGTCTTTAATATACTTAATTACCGATCAGTGAGACTCCCCAAATCTGATGTCCAACAGAGAAAAATATTTATTCACCATATAAACTATGTTGATTTTTAGGTAAAATTATTTTTCCAGTTTCGTAGGACCGGAAAACTCTATTGAATATGATCGTCAACACTATGATTTGAAAGTACTTTTAAAAAGGATGAAGGTGATCATAGCACTATAATATGAATTAAATCTAAAAAGAAAATGTTAATACATTTTAGTTAGTCATCATAAATCATTACCTAAACAGAAAAAACCACCAATTTGCTTTCAAGATTTACGTTAATATAATAGGGGTCACATACCTCAGTCCTGTTTGAAATAACAGGAGAGAACGTCCTATATAAGGAATGGATTTTCACAATTGATTTCAATTTTTTTTATACAGTTTAAAATACTT